TCTCATTTGCATTACAATGTAATCCAACGTGGATGCGAGTCAATTTCGGGCTAAAACTACAAAATAGCCACCGCACCTCCACCTGCTCAGTAGTATAGTTAAATATTAATCACGCTGACTACTGCGCAGGTCACAAGCCAACGCACCTTTAACTTAACAACATCAGCCTCTACTTGTTCATCGAAATATCCTGAAAAAAGTAAAAAGTGCCGCGACTTCAGTTATTGATTCTTCTCCCTTAAAACTATGCAATTAGATACAGAATCCCCAACGAGGAAGGAACGTTAAGAATGGGGAAGGTTTTGTTGGACTAAGGACAACGACAAAGTCAGCAAAAATCTACCTTTCAGGTAAAAGCATTCGTCCTTTTAACAGTGATCGCGGTACAACATCAGTACTGGCCCAGTACCGCATTAATACCATAGCATTACTGTATCATGTTGCACCGACATCTCACCAATGTCACGGCAGTGTCTTTTGCACTTTGACGGAAACAGTGGTACAAATGCAGAAAAAAATATCTCCGTTGATGTTTGATTCGTTTTTTAATACATACCTGGATATCGGTGATATTGCGTATAAAATCTATCCACTGCTTTTAACAAGATATAGAATACAACATTGCTGTCTGGATCATCAAGAAAACCACCTGATGAATAAAAAAATTCAATATAATATTTAACAAAAACACTTAGACATGGTCAGATCTAACTTGAAATGATTAGCACCAAACGTTTTACATTTCAGTTCTTTTCTTAAATCAAGTCAGCAGTGATTTGAACGCATTTACCACCAACCCGATGGTGAAAAATGGAATTTATAAAAAATGTATTTTTTTGATGGCAGTTGGTTGTTTAGGTCCCAGGCACCAACGGCAGCGGTTTGCAAATACATTAATTCTTACCCTGCGATTCAGTGCTTGCGGGTATCGGAGGCCTACATCAAATACTAATAACTACCATTTTAACTTGAATGGTTCTCCGCTGGTTAGTCACTTTTAATCCTAACAATAACTCAAAGACAACGTACCTAATTCATTTGCCTTGGCAACTGAAGGCTCGCATTCCTCCGCCAATGACCGACCTCGGACTAACCTCAAAAAGGACGCATTTTTACCTGCAAAAACAAAACAAGTTGACAATGAAAAGGCCTGATGATCTAAATGCAACGAAAACTGCTCATTCCCCGAAAAAGGATGTGTTTTATCAGTAACGAACGCTTTGAGAAACACAAAGCTTCTGTGATCAATGGAAGCACATGGTAAGAAGGTCACGGAAAGTTACAACGTTGTTTATACTTACAGAAAAGCCTAATTTCAGAATCTGGAATGGTGTCTGTTGACTACAAAACAAAGGATGTATAAGTGAATAAACAAACAAACGAACAAACAAAAGTAGTCTTCTGCTATGTTCATGCAAAAGCTTGTTAAAAAGGGCCTTGAGGTGAGCCCAACTATCACCTCTGGCAATACTAGAAATTCTTTAGACATAACAATAGAAACTGACACTGGTCAATTATAAAAATAGTACACCTTATAACAAGGAAAGCAAAACAAAATGCAAAAACGAAGCAAAACAATCCAAAACATGCCAAAGCAAAACAAACTTATACAGTACTGAAAACAAAAAAAATTCTTTTATTGGAAATCTCGGTACGTACTCAACATGCAGAGAAAGGTATCTTTGATAACAACCATAAAGCTCAATTTTCAATCAACTGAAAGATTTCAAACAACAGACCTTTCCCAAATCAAGTAGTATTCTATGCACTCTTTGAGTTACTGCAGCAATGTCTTTTCTTGCTTGGTCTTGATATCTGGATAATTGGACAAGACACAGATTGTTGAAGTACCTCTCAATTATTTGACCTTCAGTATTTTTCTATTTTGTCCTCCAATCTTCTCCAAGCCTAAGCTTTGAATCGATAATACAAAACAAAGGGCACAACTGGAAATTGGCATAGGGAGTGGAGTTAAGATGGAAGATAGGGTAGGGGGAAATAATGAGGCAGGGAGGGAGAGGGGGAAGGGGGGGGATGGAGGGGGAAGGAGGGGGGAGGAGGGGAGGGGGATGGAGGGGGATGATGGAAAGATCTTCCCCTCCTTGTGCCTTTTGCTCAGACTGGGTTGCAGATCCTAATCACATATTCTTTAGTGGACTACAAGATGAAAGCTTTGTTTCAAATACTACACAAATACCACCAAGTTACACAAAGACACTAGAAATCACTGAGAAAGCGAAATACATGTAACACACATTTTCACATCTTCTAAATTATCTCAAAGGTCATTTAAAACACTTACAGATTTTGAAGCTCAATGTATCTTTTTGAATCTGCTGTCATATCTGGAATTGATCCTCTTAAAGGAAGGGCTCCTTAGAACAATAAATTGTCAGTTTTAAACAACAGTGTTCTGACACTATAGAACTGGTAGAACTACAAACTATGTCAAGTACGAACCAGGCTAATAAGTGAAAGAATGAACAAACAAATAAAAAAACTGAATAAATGAATAAACAAAGAGATGAATGATTGAACACAAAAATGTTTAAAGGAACAACAGAGGAATAAAGGAAAAAAAACATTTGAACGAATAAATGAATGAAGGGAAGAACAAACAAATGAAGAAACAAATAAGCAAAGGAGACTAACAGACAAACTTACCTTCCCCTTCAGTTTCTACAAATTCTTTCATTGCCTTTGCTAAAATCCAGAAGGAACTACTCTAAAGAGGATAAAGATAAGGTAATACACTGAGTTAACACTGATTTCAGTTCCAAATTCAAAACATAAATTCTCCTCCTCTGAGAATATGTCAGTCAATGAAGAATTGTCTCTGCAGTTGCTGACAAATCCCAGAAAACGTAATTAAGTTATTCTGATGAGAAAACCTGAAACTCCTGTCAACTATAGAAATGTTTATTTTCTATTTCATGTAAATGAACAAAGGATTTAAAGAAAATTTCATACTTACAGATTCAATAATATTACTACACGCATCATCAGAAAAAATTTGAGAAATGTCACTAGGTATCTGTTAATACAACAAAATGTTAATAAAGTGATTAGTCATGTACATTAAAAATGAAAGTTCATGTGAGAGAAGGTAGGGGTGAGTGTTGTCCTGGACGCAAGAGCTGCCTGCCGCACTCATTGCCAGTACTCCGGGCTTGTGTCAGCAAGTGGCACAAGAGGCACAGTAACAAGTACCTACGTCAAGCTCCCACAGTACTTATCTTACCTTAGTAGGAACAAGAGCTGAGTTCACCGCTTTAATGGCCTCATCAAAGTTCTCCTCCTCTTCAGGCACACCATCTTTGTTGACTAAAATTCCTGACAAGGCAGAAAACATTGGACAGAATACAGCTGTAATCACACTTAGATATGTGGAATCTTCAAGACATGCCAGTTCACATTAAAGGTTTCAAAAATTGAATGCTCATTATTTGTTCATTTCAAATTGGCCATTTTCAAGTGCTTCTTGTATGTACATGTACCTTAGTTTCAAAACGAATCAAGGTGAAAAAACTGCATGTGTTTTAACACAGACACAAAACAATAAAAACTTGTTCAGAATGCATTCTAGAAAACAGCAAAAGATCTCTCAGAATACCTAGCATCGTACACAGATCTCCTTTGGGCTTGTCATGCAGTCATCCCTCCCACATAGGAAGGGGGGCATGACCAGCCATAATGACATCTGTGTAAAGAGTTATCAGAAACCCTGTCATCTCTGCAATATACTAACCTCCTCTTAGCATTTGTTTAAGCAAGTCTTTTTCTTTGTAATTTTGTGGTGGTCTACCATTATGCTGTTAAGAAAATAAGGAATAGAAGATAATCAGGAGACCAGGGTGGCAAGGGTGGCAAATGTGGCCAGAGTGACAAGGGTGCTGAGTGTGGCAAAAGTGGCAAGGGTAGCCAGGGTGCTGAAGATGTTGAGGGAGGCAAGGGTGGCAAGGGCAGCGAGGGCGACAATGGTGGAGGGGGCAGCCAGGGTGGCCAGACAAGTGAGGGTGTCAAGGAACCAAAGAGCAACAAGACTGCCAACAGCAGCCAGAATGGCAAGGATGGTTAAAATAAACAGGGATGCCAGGGTGGTTAGGGTGGAAAGGGTGGTGAACTGGCCACACTAGAAAGGGTGACCGGGGTTGCCAGCTGAGGGTGGCAGTGACAAGGGTGGCAAGGGTGGGGGGTGGGGGGTGGTGAAATGTGCCAGAGATGTGAGGGTGGGGAGGGTTACAAATGTGATCAGGGTGACAAAGGTGGCCAAGAAGGCTATGGTGGCAAAAATGGTCAGGGTGGCATTTCCATTTTGCAAATGAACAGTGTAGTATGATTAAGCAATGGTGTTATCACTATGGCAATATATTATTGTAATTTCTCATACACATGGCAAAAGAAAGAAACATAATAATTAATATTTCTTTCTCTTGCCATGTGTATTATACACTACAGTGCATGTTAAGACTCACCTCTTCTTTCCATTTGTTTAAATACTTTAACAACAATACCACATAAGGTGTGTGTCCATGTTCCTAGACAAAAAAGCACAGCAAAATTCCTATTACCATGGATGAACAAATGTACCATTGACGAGGATATGTTAGAATATCAGCATCTTAACATCATACTGACATTCTAAAATATGTACACTTGTCACAATGCTTATGTGCTAACGTGGTACAATATTTGGTACTAAATACATGGTAAATCTATTAATTTAAAATATATTTGTGTGACCTACAGTAGAAATAAATGTTGCCTTCTCTTGTCTTGATAACCAGTTGTTTTTGTTGTATGTTTTTTTCAGGGATAAACCAAACGACTGATAATGATAATTTTTTTTTACCTGTTTTGTCATGGTATGAAGATCTAAGGCATCAACATATTCCACAAGGCCAGGGAATGGTCTGTCTAATCTGAGATCAGGATGTGCATTATCAGGGTGTGATTCAACAACTGCAGGAAATAACAGAATTACAGTAAAATATTGATAAAACTGATATCAAATTTTACGATAATGAACATTTTTGGAGATTCATTTAAGTATTCCAGTGATAGTGCTTCCTAATACTGAGCAAAAGATCGTAGATTCAACACTTGTTAGGTAGACCTAGCGGCACTCAGGCTGTTGCCGAGTACATGAATGTTGATGCTTACCACAGTGCTCTTGTAGCACAATTCTCATGCAACCAATGAAGCCATATGAGCGGCATACTAATAAAGGAATGTTGCTTGACCATAGCAATGAACCAAGTTTTAACAAAGTTCTGAAAATAAAAGATAAACTTTTTGATATTCATAAAAAATGTGTTAATTTTTTGTTGATAAAAAATACCCCATAACTTTAAAAAGCTTACAGGGACAACAACCATCATCCCACCTGACTAACCCCCACCCATCCCCTCCCCACCTCCTAAAAAGCCCAACAGATATAAACCAGATTAATTACTAGCTACCATCACTAAAAGTAATGCATCCTTAGTTAATGTGTTACAACTTACTCTTCAGGCAGTTGTGTAGCTATGACAACAGTAAATGACTTGAAGAATTCACTGTTTTCTCTTAATAGGCATTCCGTTGTCTAACAGAAAGAACCACAAATTTTAATAGTTAATTAATAGGCCATTCATCAGGTTCACACTACATCAATGCTATATTTTTAAGGATGTCAGCACACATAAAAAAAAACCACCAACTTGACTCATCATACATCCTCTTCATAAATCTTTTGTAAATTGAATCAACATAAATTTGAGTTTTGGATCAACTCAGTCTGTTTCAACAGGTCCACTTGGATAGAGGAAGAAAATTAAAAATTAAAAGTGAATTGTGTCGTTATAATGAACTCATCACTTCTGTACTGTGAGGAATTTTTAATAACAGCCTTTTGACTTCTTGTGTAACAAAATAATGTTCATTCAAGTTCACGTAACTAAGGGATTTTCTCATTTCAGTATGTTATATTAGACACATTACCTGTATGTTTATTGTACTTATTCATCTTAAAGGTGTGAACTACAGTTGGTTCATAGAATTTTTCGATTGATATTAATTTAAAGTAGCTATTAATGAACAGAGGTTACTATTAATAATTCTTTTTTTCCCTTTTCATGGATGGAGTACAATGAAAATAATTATGTTCTCATACACTACCTCCTCTATGAAATCTCCTGAAACATCTGAATTTAATTCAAGAAGAAACTCAGTGGTACATTCAGCACGAGACTAACAAAAGAAAAAGTTTATCAAATCATAAAAAAAGAAAGAATATTGCCTAGCCTTACTCTTGCCTTCAGGCACCAACTCTCTCAAGCCTTGAAAAGAGGATCATTAAATATATTCCAAATGTACATGGAAAAAGAAAACACAATCATGGTTATTCCTCATGGTACTGGTCCATTAGTTCTTAAGAAAACTATAATTATATGAGAAACTGCCTTAAATGCCAAAGACCTCTTGTACATGGATATACAAGATGTGGTTTTTAAATTTATGGTGATACTTTCTTCCACTTGCTAACAATTATTATTACCAGAATCAATCTGACTGCGTTTATATATAACTGTAGTTCAGTACTGTACCGCATATACCTGGATTTGCAAGCTGTTTAAGAATTCTTTAATGGTTGCTGTAAAAATTAAACATTGATGAAACAAAATTGATTCCCTTACCTTTCCAATACTGTCTTTGTTCAAAAAGAAGCTGCAACAGAGAATACGTTACAGCAATAATTCACAAGAATACCAAATGAATCAATACGATCTTTTACAACAGATAAGTGTAGGAAGCAAATCAATCATTACCACATTAGTCTTCTTTAGGAGTTAAATTCAAATTTTCGGACGAGCAACCCTGACCTTCACATATGGTAGTTCCCCCCTCCCAGGGTTCCAAATGTCTAACAGGAAGTGACCCAGTGAAGGAGTGAAGGAGTGAAGGAGTGATGGAGTGAAATCTACTTGGAAAATATAAATATTTTCCAAGTTAAAAATGGCTGACAGAGCTTTTGTTCAAGCCAGAATAAAGTAGCTGTAATAACAAGGTGGCCGTATTAACGGGGTGGCTGTAAGGTGGGTTCCACTACACTCATATGTAGGGTGCAGTATGACTGCTCATTCAAGAGGAGAGAAATTGGTGGCTAGCTGCAATGTCAGTTGGCATATTGTGACTGTCAGAAACTGAATGCTCTCAGCTGTGAGCAGATCTTGGCCAGTCCTGTTTCAGCATTTAAATTACAATATTTAGAGAGGAAGCCACATCAGCCTTAGGTGGTTTTCATGCAGGTGCTCTATCCTGGTCGAATTGGAATAATTTGGGGTGTTGGTTTTTGGGGAGGGAGGAAAACCGTGAAAACCCAGAGAAAAACCCTTGGAGCACCGCGAGAACCAACAGCAAGCTCAACCCACATATGACATCAGGCTGGAGTTGACCCTGGGCCACATTGGTGGGAGGTGAGCGCTCTTACCACTGAGCCATCCCTTCTTCCCTGCTCCCCAGGATTTGAAGAGAGGGTGTCCAAAATGTGCTAAAGGACAGCTCAAATGAACAATTTATAAAGCAACATGTGAAAAATGAAACAGCTTTCTTGTAGGACACCTAGACACCCATCTAGCTAGAAGTCTGCGGTACATATGTTCTGTTATAGCAGCGCCGTGGTATTGTCGTGTTAACCAATGCCAAGGATGCATGTACTGTGCACTGTTTTTGCTGTGTTCACTAGCACAGGCTCTGCAGCTATTTAGCTGTGTAGGAGATTGAGTGATAGCTGGTGTAGAGACACTATGTTCCACTTAATTTACATGTACTCACTTATTACCAACATCTTCCCCAGTAACTTTCTGACCATCCACAATAGTGAATGATCCTATACCTGAAAACCAAGCAAAAAAGGTTCAACTGAATGAAAATTGGGAAAGGAAGAAAATGATATGTCTGGCTTTGTGCAAGGGATTAAGTGTTCCAGACACTTCACTTTGAGCTGACTAGGAGGTCATTAAATGAAAATTCATGTGAGCAGAACACTACCTGGAAGAATAAGGTTTTTTAAAATTTCAGTCCCAGTGGCTGATGCATTTATCAAGCAAATCTTAGCTCCTTCTAAAGCTTCTTGCCCATGATCTCCCCATAACCTAAAAGAAAATTAAAAACATCTCTTAACATAAATTATAGATAAATATGTAACTGTAAGAATTAGGATTTTTTTCAAGTTAAACAATTAATTAATAATTCTCTTTACCCTTGTGGTCATCCAATCCTGATTTCCGATTTACACCTGCTCTAAGCGTTACATGCATAGGCAACCCCTTTTGACCATCTCTTGACATGATATCTTTTGACAAGCTATATAAGTAAAGGGCTGAAAGCCCATTTAACTGTGAAACTGGCAATTTTTCCAGTTATTAGTGGAAAGAAATGACAAAAAAAATAATAATTACTGACCCCAAATGGCTGAAGAAGATTGTGGACTTCGCATGTTTCCTGATTTACGGGTTAAATCAAACAATTTGAGTGTAATCAATCAGCTCTCGATAGTGACTTCTGGTAGCATTGGACCGCAACCGCATTAAATATTCACAGAATGATTCCTTGATACTTCTAACCTTAGCTTGATGTCAAACAAATCCATCTTTTGGGACTAAAAGATGAGTTCGACCATAAAGAAGTCAATTGGTAGGCCAGGTTACATATAGTATGTTGAGAGATGGCACGTGGAAAGATGTCACCTATGCACGTAATACTAAAAGTGGGTGTAAACAAACTAAAGACACTAAAGGACTTACAACTTGTGTTTATTTTTGGATAATCAACTTTTTTGACACAAACCTGGGAATACTTCAAGGAGTGACAAAATTATGGAGACACGTCAAGTTTAAACTTAAAGTCTTACTTTCAAGTTCCTCTGACAAACTTTACCCTCTCTGTCCCAAACAGTGTTAGATTTTCCTCTCTCTGAGAGTGAGCAGAATATACAGCATCTGCATGACACAGGGGTTGCTTAACATTTCCAGCAGGAAGGTGACTGGTTTTCACAGGCAGGCAAAACTTTTTGACCTGAATGTCTTTATAAGAAAAATCATCCTCACAGGACCAGGGGTATAGGCAATAAAAAATTCATGGAAGACGGGAGAATGGAGGGTTGGGAAGTGGCACCTTCCCAAGGTGGTGGCGTTCAGGAGAAAGGTTTTGTTACAACATTACATAATATTTTGCAAAAGAAAAAGCAAGAGCTGGGAAACCCAAAGGAAGGGGAAAGAAGTTGGGAGTAAAAGACTACCCTGCCCTTCCTCTCCCCAAAAACAGTGTGGCTATGCCCTTTCCCCTCCCCCACAGCAGGTGTGGTTATGGATTTCAGCGGGATTAAGTAAAATGAACATTAACCAGTCAGGAAAATTGTGGAAAGGAAAATAAAAAGAACGAAAAAANCTTTCATTGCCTTTGCTAAAATCCAGAAGGAACTACTCTAAAGAGGATAAAGATAAGGTAATACACTGAGTTAACACTGATTTCAGTTCCAAATTCAAAACATAAATTCTCCTCCTCTGAGAATATGTCAGTCAATGAAGAATTGTCTCTGCAGTTGCTGACAAATCCCAGAAAACGTAATTAAGTTATTCTGATGAGAAAACCTGAAACTCCTGTCAACTATAGAAATGTTTATTTTCTATTTCATGTAAATGAACAAAGGATTTAAAGAAAATTTCATACTTACAGATTCAATAATATTACTACACGCATCATCAGAAAAAATTTGAGAAATGTCACTAGGTATCTGTTAATACAACAAAATGTTAATAAAGTGATTAGTCATGTACATTAAAAATGAAAGTTCATGTGAGAGAAGGTAGGGGTGAGTGTTGTCCTGGACGCAAGAGCTGCCTGCCGCACTCATTGCCAGTACTCCGGGCTTGTGTCAGCAAGTGGCACAAGAGGCACAGTAACAAGTACCTACGTCAAGCTCCCACAGTACTTATCTTACCTTAGTAGGAACAAGAGCTGAGTTCACCGCTTTAATGGCCTCATCAAAGTTCTCCTCCTCTTCAGGCACACCATCTTTGTTGACTAAAATTCCTGACAAGGCAGAAAACATTGGACAGAATACAGCTGTAATCACACTTAGATATGTGGAATCTTCAAGACATGCCAGTTCACATTAAAGGTTTCAAAAATTGAATGCTCATTATTTGTTCATTTCAAATTGGCCATTTTCAAGTGCTTCTTGTATGTACATGTACCTTAGTTTCAAAACGAATCAAGGTGAAAAAACTGCATGTGTTTTAACACAGACACAAAACAATAAAAACTTGTTCAGAATGCATTCTAGAAAACAGCAAAAGATCTCTCAGAATACCTAGCATCGTACACAGATCTCCTTTGGGCTTGTCATGCAGTCATCCCTCCCACATAGGAAGGGGGGCATGACCAGCCATAATGACATCTGTGTAAAGAGTTATCAGAAACCCTGTCATCTCTGCAATATACTAACCTCCTCTTAGCATTTGTTTAAGCAAGTCTTTTTCTTTGTAATTTTGTGGTGGTCTACCATTATGCTGTTAAGAAAATAAGGAATAGAAGATAATCAGGAGACCAGGGTGGCAAGGGTGGCAAATGTGGCCAGAGTGACAAGGGTGCTGAGTGTGGCAAAAGTGGCAAGGGTAGCCAGGGTGCTGAAGATGTTGAGGGAGGCAAGGGTGGCAAGGGCAGCGAGGGCGACAATGGTGGAGGGGGCAGCCAGGGTGGCCAGACAAGTGAGGGTGTCAAGGAACCAAAGAGCAACAAGACTGCCAACAGCAGCCAGAATGGCAAGGATGGTTAAAATAAACAGGGATGCCAGGGTGGTTAGGGTGGAAAGGGTGGTGAACTGGCCACACTAGAAAGGGTGACCGGGGTTGCCAGCTGAGGGTGGCAGTGACAAGGGTGGCAAGGGTGGGGGGTGGGGGGTGGTGAAATGTGCCAGAGATGTGAGGGTGGGGAGGGTTACAAATGTGATCAGGGTGACAAAGGTGGCCAAGAAGGCTATGGTGGCAAAAATGGTCAGGGTGGCATTTCCATTTTGCAAATGAACAGTGTAGTATGATTAAGCAATGGTGTTATCACTATGGCAATATATTATTGTAATTTCTCATACACATGGCAAAAGAAAGAAACATAATAATTAATATTTCTTTCTCTTGCCATGTGTATTATACACTACAGTGCATGTTAAGACTCACCTCTTCTTTCCATTTGTTTAAATACTTTAACAACAATACCACATAAGGTGTGTGTCCATGTTCCTAGACAAAAAAGCACAGCAAAATTCCTATTACCATGGATGAACAAATGTACCATTGACGAGGATATGTTAGAATATCAGCATCTTAACATCATACTGACATTCTAAAATATGTACACTTGTCACAATGCTTATGTGCTAACGTGGTACAATATTTGGTACTAAATACATGGTAAATCTATTAATTTAAAATATATTTGTGTGACCTACAGTAGAAATAAATGTTGCCTTCTCTTGTCTTGATAACCAGTTGTTTTTGTTGTATGTTTTTTTCAGGGATAAACCAAACGACTGATAATGATAATTTTTTTTTACCTGTTTTGTCATGGTATGAAGATCTAAGGCATCAACATATTCCACAAGGCCAGGGAATGGTCTGTCTAATCTGAGATCAGGATGTGCATTATCAGGGTGTGATTCAACAACTGCAGGAAATAACAGAATTACAGTAAAATATTGATAAAACTGATATCAAATTTTACGATAATGAACATTTTTGGAGATTCATTTAAGTATTCCAGTGATAGTGCTTCCTAATACTGAGCAAAAGATCGTAGATTCAACACTTGTTAGGTAGACCTAGCGGCACTCAGGCTGTTGCCGAGTACATGAATGTTGATGCTTACCACAGTGCTCTTGTAGCACAATTCTCATGCAACCAATGAAGCCATATGAGCGGCATACTAATAAAGGAATGTTGCTTGACCATAGCAATGAACCAAGTTTTAACAAAGTTCTGAAAATAAAAGATAAACTTTTTGATATTCATAAAAAATGTGTTAATTTTTTGTTGATAAAAAATACCCCATAACTTTAAAAAGCTTACAGGGACAACAACCATCATCCCACCTGACTAACCCCCACCCATCCCCTCCCCACCTCCTAAAAAGCCCAACAGATATAAACCAGATTAATTACTAGCTACCATCACTAAAAGTAATGCATCCTTAGTTAATGTGTTACAACTTACTCTTCAGGCAGTTGTGTAGCTATGACAACAGTAAATGACTTGAAGAATTCACTGTTTTCTCTTAATAGGCATTCCGTTGTCTAACAGAAAGAACCACAAATTTTAATAGTTAATTAATAGGCCATTCATCAGGTTCACACTACATCAATGCTATATTTTTAAGGATGTCAGCACACATAAAAAAAAACCACCAACTTGACTCATCATACATCCTCTTCATAAATCTTTTGTAAATTGAATCAACATAAATTTGAGTTTTGGATCAACTCAGTCTGTTTCAACAGGTCCACTTGGATAGAGGAAGAAAATTAAAAATTAAAAGTGAATTGTGTCGTTATAATGAACTCATCACTTCTGTACTGTGAGGAATTTTTAATAACAGCCTTTTGACTTCTTGTGTAACAAAATAATGTTCATTCAAGTTCACGTAACTAAGGGATTTTCTCATTTCAGTATGTTATATTAGACACATTACCTGTATGTTTATTGTACTTATTCATCTTAAAGGTGTGAACTACAGTTGGTTCATAGAATTTTTCGATTGATATTAATTTAAAGTAGCTATTAATGAACAGAGGTTACTATTAATAATTCTTTTTTTCCCTTTTCATGGATGGAGTACAATGAAAATAATTATGTTCTCATACACTACCTCCTCTATGAAATCTCCTGAAACATCTGAATTTAATTCAAGAAGAAACTCAGTGGTACATTCAGCACGAGACTAACAAAAGAAAAAGTTTATCAAATCATAAAAAAAGAAAGAATATTGCCTAGCCTTACTCTTGCCTTCAGGCACCAACTCTCTCAAGCCTTGAAAAGAGGATCATTAAATATATTCCAAATGTACATGGAAAAAGAAAACACAATCATGGTTATTCCTCATGGTACTGGTCCATTAGTTCTTAAGAAAACTATAATTATATGAGAAACTGCCTTAAATGCCAAAGACCTCTTGTACATGGATATACAAGATGTGGTTTTTAAATTTATGGTGATACTTTCTTCCACTTGCTAACAATTATTATTACCAGAATCAATCTGACTGCGTTTATATATAACTGTAGTTCAGTACTGTACCGCATATACCTGGATTTGCAAGCTGTTTAAGAATTCTTTAATGGTTGCTGTAAAAATTAAACATTGATGAAACAAAATTGATTCCCTTACCTTTCCAATACTGTCTTTGTTCAAAAAGAAGCTGCAACAGAGAATACGTTACAGCAATAATTCACAAGAATACCAAATGAATCAATACGATCTTTTACAACAGATAAGTGTAGGAAGCAAATCAATCATTACCACATTAGTCTTCTTTAGGAGTTAAATTCAAATTTTCGGACGAGCAACCCTGACCTTCACATATGGTAGTTCCCCCCTCCCAGGGTTCCAAATGTCTAACAGGAAGTGACCCAGTGAAGGAGTGAAGGAGTGAAGGAGTGATGGAGTGAAATCTACTTGGAAAATATAAATATTTTCCAAGTTAAAAATGGCTGACAGAGCTTTTGTTCAAGCCAGAATAAAGTAGCTGTAATAACAAGGTGGCCGTATTAACGGGGTGGCTGTAAGGTGGGTTCCACTACACTCATATGTAGGGTGCAGTATGACTGCTCATTCAAGAGGAGAGAAATTGGTGGCTAGCTGCAATGTCAGTTGGCATATTGTGACTGTCAGAAACTGAATGCTCTCAGCTGTGAGCAGATCTTGGCCAGTCCTGTTTCAGCATTTAAATTACAATATTTAGAGAGGAAGCCACATCAGCCTTAGGTGGTTTTCATGCAGGTGCTCTATCCTGGTCGAATTGGAATAATTTGGGGTGTTGGTTTTTGGGGAGGGAGGAAAACCGTGAAAACCCAGAGAAAAACCCTTGGAGCACCGCGAGAACCAACAGCAAGCTCAACCCACATATGACATCAGGCTGGAGTTGACCCTGGGCCACATTGGTGGGAGGTGAGCGCTCTTACCACTGAGCCATCCCTTCTTCCCTGCTCCCCAGGATTTGAAGAGAGGGTGTCCAAAATGTGCTAAAGGACAGCTCAAATGAACAATTTATAAAGCAACATGTGAAAAATGAAACAGCTTTCTTGTAGGACACCTAGACACCCATCTAGCTAGAAGTCTGCGGTACATATGTTCTGTTATAGCAGCGCCGTGGTATTGTCGTGTTAACCAATGCCAAGGATGCATGTACTGTGCACTGTTTTTGCTGTGTTCACTAGCACAGGCTCTGCAGCTATTTAGCTGTGTAGGAGATTGAGTGATAGCTGGTGTAGAGACACTATGTTCCACTTAATTTACATGTACTCACTTATTACCAACATCTTCCCCAGTAACTTTCTGACCATCCACAATAGTGAATGATCCTATACCTGAAAACCAAGCAAAAAAGGTTCAACTGAATGAAAATTGGGAAAGGAAGAAAATGATATGTCTGGCTTTGTGCAAGGGATTAAGTGTTCCAGACACTTCACTTTGAGCTGACTAGGAGGTCATTAAATGAAAATTCATGTGAGCAGAACACTACCTGGAAGAATAAGGTTTTTTAAAATTTCAGTCCCAGTGGCTGATGCATTTATCAAGCAAATCTTAGCTCCTTCTAAAGCTTCTTGCCCATGATCTCCCCATAACCTAAAAGAAAATTAAAAACATCTCTTAACATAAATTATAGATAAATATGTAACTGTAAGAATTAGGATTTTTTTCAAGTTAAACAATTAATTAATAATTCTCTTTACCCTTGTGGTCATCCAATCCTGATTTCCGATTTACACCTGCTCTAAGCGTTACATGCATAGGCAACACCTTTTGACCATCTCTTGACATGCTATCTTTTGACAAGCTATATAAGTAAAGGGCTGAAAGACTGTTTAACTGTGAAACTGGCAATTTTTCCAGTTATTAGTGGAAAGAAATGACAAACAAAATAATAATTACTGACCCCAAATGGCTGAAGAAGATTGTGGACTTCGCATGTTTCCTGATTTAAGGGTTAAATCAAACAATTTGAGTGTAATCAATCAGCTCTCAATAGTGACTTCCCATAGCATTGGACCGCAACCGCATTAAATATTCACAGAAGAATTTCTTGATACTTCTAACCTTAGCTTGATGTCAAATAAATCCATCTTTCGGGACTAAAAGATGAGTTCGACCGTAAAGAAGTCAGTTGGTAGGCCAGGTTACATATAGTATGTTGAGAGATGGCACGTGGAAAGATGTCACCTATGCACGTAATACTAAAAGTGGGTGTAAACAAACTAAAGACACTAAAGGACTTACAACTTGTGTTTATTTTTGGATAATCAACTTTTTTGACACAAACCTGGGAATACTTCAAGGAGTGACAAAATTATGGAGACACGTCAAGTTTAAACTTAAAGTCTTACTTTCAAGTTCCTCTGACAAACTTTACCCTCTCTGTCCCAAACAGTGTTAGATTTTCCTCTCTCTGAGAGTGAGCAGAATATACAGCATCTGCATGACACAGGGGTTGCTTAACATTTCCAGCAGGAAGGTGACTGGTTTTCACAGGCAGGCAAAACTTTTTGACCTGAATGTCTTTATAAGAAAAATCATCCTCACAGGACCAGGGGTATAGGCAATAAAAAATTCATGGAAGACGGGAGAATGGAGGGTTGGGAAGTGGCACCTTCCCAAGGTGGTGGCGTTCAGGAGAAAGGTTTTGTTACAACATTACATAATATTTTGCAAAAGAAAAAGCAAGAGCTGGGAAACCCAAAGGAAGGGGAAAGAAGTTGGGAGTAAAAGACTACCCTGCCCTTCCTCTCCCCAAAAACAGTGTGGCTATGCCCTTTCCCCTCCCCCACAGCAGGTGTTGTTATGGATTTCAGCGGGATTAAGTAAAATGAACATTAACCAGTCAGGAAAATTGTGGAAAGGAAAATAAAAAGAACGAAAAAACAAAAACAAAATAACCCAAGCAAATGCTGTAGTAACGAAAAAAAAAATTTAAGGCTTTAAAAAGATTGCTGCTGTCAGATAGAGATCGATCGACACATAAGCTCATACTGTCATCAGCTGATGTACTGTTATATGAGTGTGCAGGCTACCAAACGTTCTGTACCACATATCCCCGACTCCGTGGAGTAGCCAACTCAAGATCACAATAAAATGTGTAAACTGCCAGCTTCCGTCTTCAACCGCCGATCAGTTCTCAAAGGTTTCAACCACCCGAGAGGAGTCATAACAGAGAAGAGAGCGACCTTCTGCGCGTTCCGCTTGTTCCTGCGTTCTTGATAAAATGGATTTTATGGGATTACATTGTGCATCTGTTTCCCTTACCTCAGCTGGCGATCATACTTTTTGTTTTTATCCAAAGCTACCTTTGACATTTTCTGTTTTCTTGGAGATTCCGGTGGGCCGGCAGCTTTCCTTTTCATTGCGCATGGGTACTGCTGTCAAATGCCCGCAGTAATCCGCAGTCAATGTACAGCAGCGTTACGCCATCTTCGGGATTCTTCGGTCCCTTTCGACAGTTGTCGCATGGTTTCGGGTTGATTTCAAGAATACGGAGCAGGGGCCCGTTTCTCGAAAGCCCCGAAAACTTTTCGGGCCCGTAAAGCCACAGCAAAATCTCGAACCTTACGATTACAGAGCTGTTTTATTCACGTATTCTTAATATGAAGAGAAGGTTYCTYCATACAAGAAGTTTCRGGCGCATGCACTTCTCTGGTTTTAGATTCAGATGGACTAAAAATGGAAAAGTTTCCGAAAAGTTTCCGGGGCTTTCGAGAAACGGGCCCCAGGAGCGGAGGGCCATAGCGGATACTGTGAGATAATAATTCAAGCTTTGAAAGACGGTGCCATAAGGCCCCCGATGGCTAGGTACGACATATCATGTAACAATGAGAAATATCTTTTCAGAATGTCTTGCCACGGAAGTAAAGTTTCAATCTGAAGTAACGCAGGAAGTAACGCAAGTTCAAATGATTACATTGGCCGCAAAGGACTGGTACTTGCGACGTGGCATGCGCATAAATACAGAATATACGCGGCAACCATCATGGCGGACGCTGAGGTTAGTGTGAAGTCGAAAAAGGTTCGTTTTTCTACTAAACTGTACTTTATTATTTCCTAATGTAGCTTCTAATATGATATATTGCTTTCTACCAGCCTTGTTTATTAATTTGATCTTTGTTTCTCTCACGCGAACATTAGAAAACAGCTTCGTGGTTATTGTCAACTTTGATCTTCTACGTCAATATTTTGCCCGTCGGGTCATTTTATTTACCCGGAATTGCACCCATTGATTACGCAAGGGGCGAAAAACTGGACGTCAAGGTAGGTACTCGTCAAATTCATGATCAATTATTCGTTTTTTGAAACTATCGGTAACATTTTTTAACCTTTAAGACTTACAGATCTATGACAAAGAATGTGTTTATATACTACTAACTAAATTGCCATGTACTTTTCTTTTTGTTTTATATTTTCATGAAACAGATTATTCTGAGATGAAGTGATCTTGTGTAGAGCAAACGCTGTTTCCTTATAAATATCAGCCATTGTCATACGCATGTATATTTTATTGGCAGTAGAATCGAAATACGGATATCATTTTTCACTCTGAAACTCAGTTGCCATGCCTTCAATTAGTTATTCTCAGTTTTCATTTATTGGTAATAGTTCGTAGCAACACGAGTACAGTGAAGTTAATATTTTGAATTGTCATATTTTGATTTTCGACGAGGACTCAGTTTGCTTTGATCTTAACTGAGAAAATGACACCAGCCATTCAATGGTGCCTTCACCCTATTCAGCCAGTGTGATTTTCTGCGTTACAAATACTGTGTTTGAAGAAGGGCAGTGTTACTCTTTCAGAGCAGCTCATATGGACACAACACGAGTAGCAATTTTTTTTTCAGTCCTAGCTCTTGGAGAGATGGTGTTATCTAAAATACTTAAGAACTAAAAATAATATAAATGAATTACAATTAAATTGCACATTCACAATCACACAAACTACAGTACATACTTAAACTAATCACTTTCCATGCATATAAGTTAATGTTGTGATATCACAGTTCCTGCTAGGTGGTTAGTGATACTTAGCCAGAAAGAGAATGTTTCTTGACTATAAAGTATACGGTAAAAAGTACATTTTTTTTACTTATGGCTTTTCAGTTCCAGTTGATCTTTTTATGTTACAAATATGCATTTGTGTGCCGATCAGGAACTTTTACTCAAGTCATAAAAGCTACTAACAACTAAATGCACCATTGCAAATAATTATCATGTTTTTAGTTTGTGTAACTGTAATCTACCACATCTTGTTAATTGATTTTTTTTGGTGAATGTAGGCAGTTAAAATGACAAGCATAAAGACACAGTTACCATTTGAGTATTACTCCATACCAATTTGCAAGCCAAATCATTTGCTTTACAAGCCAGAAAATCTAGGTAAGATTTAGTGCAAATTAATGTTTCTTTGCATGTGTTTTCTTTAGTTTATAAATATAGTGGAATCCCAAGTTTTAGAACCTCCAAGGGAAATGAAAATTGGTTTGAAATATCAGGTAGTTAAAGAAATGTGGGATGAAATTATAGTGTTTGAGCAATGGGAGGGAAACAACTTTTGGTTGAGTTATTGGCAGGTTTGAAAAAATCAAGGGGTCAAGAAATTGGGATTCAACTTTAGACCATTTCAAGCATTTTCACTGTAAACCATAAAATTGAGCATACAGCAGTACTTGTAGTCTTGTTTGTGTCTTTTCAATCATTTTAACAGGATGAATTCTTTCGATGTGTAGTTGGATTTTTATTCCCAGAACTGATCATCATCTTTCTAATATTTCTTCATAATACAATCCAAACCAGTCTATACAAATGCTGTATGGAGCACAGCAAGTGTTTGTGTTTATACAATAATGATGTGTCCATTTTAAACAGCTTAAAGAAAATGTGTAAGCTACAGACTGAAATCCCAGTCTGGGTAAATAGCGAGGTGTCATCATTAAGCAGGTGTAGTAAAGTTAGATGTAACTGTATAGGTGTGTTGTCAAGTAACTGGACAGCTGGCAAGAATACGTTAATAACAAATTATCATCAAGGTTTCCCCAGGGGAAGTTAATATTATTATTTTATTGTACCACCACTGATGTTCTCAGAGCAAGTAGTTAATCTGAGGCCATTAATAAGAGGTGTATGTTCCAAGCTCGGGACTAAGACTTTGTCTTGTGAAGTACTAAAAACTTTTAAAAAGCAAGCTTGTTTTCTTCTCTTCAGGTGAAGTGCTACGTGGAGACAGGATAGTCAATACTTTATATGAGGTGTGTAGCTACTTGGAAGCTTGGACTTGGTTTACGTTGCATTCAAAGTTATACCACTCTCGGGAATTCTAATCTGCATTTTCATGAGAATTTGATAACTACAATGACCATGATTCACCACTTCTGTCAAATCAGCTGCAGTTAGGAGCTGTTCTCTAACTGGTCTCATATCAAGAACTTAGCAAAATTCTTGAAGTTAAGTTCTTTTTAAAGTGTATCATTTACAATGTCGTACTTACTGGTAAGTGTGTTGTTTGGCTGTCTTGCAGATTAAAATGGCAGAAAACAAAGAATGCACAATGTTGTGCCAGCCAACGACTTTAACAGCTGAACAGTCTACACAACTTACCAAGTTGATATCAGAGGAATATCATGTCCACATGTATGTAGTTTTTGTATAATTGTTGTCTTATACTCAAGTGTGATTTGCATGACTGTATATCTACTGGTAGTGTATTTCTTACTAATTTAGTAATAAGGAGCTTTTGTTATATGCCATTTCAGGGTTATTGACAACCTACCTGTGGCCACAAAATTTGTCCTTGAAAATGGTCAGGTAAGGGCTGTGTATGATCATATGACAGCGTTGTAAATTCTGTCTGCCCTGTTTTTCATCGGACTGCTTTGTATGAAGAGTTTTCTTTATGCTAATTAAGATGAAGCCTGCATTTGAGCCCAGTGGCCCAGTAGGTCGGTGCTTTTCTCCAGTTTCCATACACCAAATGCAAATATGGCGGACCACTTGGTCAGTGCCTGGAATCCTTGAAAGCAAGGCTAATCAGGCTTTGGTGTTTTGTATTGACAATGCTCCCCCAGAAAAGTCTTGCTTCATCATTGATTTGGTCTGTTTTGTCCCGCGCTCCCTACGCATTTGTGTGTTCCTGAATGCCACGAAGACTTTTCTGGGGAAGCATTGTCAAAACAAAACATCAAAGCCTGACCAGCCTTGCTGTCATGCAGCTCGTCCCAGGTGCTAACCAAGTGGTCTGCCGTGTTTGCATTCAGTGTTTAGCTTGAAGCAACTAGAGTATTTCTACTCCCCTTGAATACAATGCCACATCTGTAGTTCTCTAGAGGTTACCCCTTAGCGTTCAATTGCTTTTACCCATTTATACACTTGGGTGGAGAGGTATTGTGAGCTAGAAATGTGTCTTTCTCAAGAATGCAGCACAATGACCCCACCCAGGGCTGGCACCTGGATCGCTCAATACATTATAAGCTAAGGCAAGTGAAAATGTTATCTAATTATGTTTTCTTCTTGAAAAGAAACTTTTTTAGTACATGTACATTTATGTTCTTTAATTAATTAATTTGTTACAGGTGCAGTATGACCATGGATTTAAACTTGGGTTTGCACTAGAACAGGTCAGTGGAATAGAGATATTTAATTGGGAAAAAAAGTGTATTCAAGAATCTTATGATTTACACTATTCAATCATAGTAACCTTGTAGAATGGAATTGTGTTTATTTGCCAAAAAAATGTTTACTGTTTAAATGTACATTTATGCCTTTAATGATATGTGTATGTAATTTAGAAATTCTTCCAAAAAGTGTGCAATGTTCTCACTTTCAAATCAGTCTAGGATTTTTACCATCAATGACTCTTACGTGTTAATCATACAACAATGTAAATCATAAATACCTTCACACATGTAATTGCCAAATGAGTTTGCTAGCTGCCAGACAATCTTGCTCTGCACAGCACAATATGTACAGTAAGTTACAATCCAATTCAACTTCTCTCAGTCATTATTATCTGTCCTTTTCACGTCATGCAACACATACATGTAAGGCCTCTGCAATATTCTGACAGCTGGTCTGGAACAGTCCTGTGCTGCCTTTTGGGCCTCACTCAACGAGAGGTGAGCTGAAGCTAGGATTGTTCACTACAGACTATATCCAGGTTTTTTGGGTCTTCCCCCCTTCTTTTTCTCATCTGGCATCCAGAACATAGCTTCTTTCATGATGTTACCAGTCTCCTTTCTCATATATGTCTGACCAATCGCCACTTCCTTCTTGTCAATTCCACGATGTCATCCTTTTCACTCTTGATCCTGTATGCCCGCACCAAAAGTGTTGTTATATTTATGATAATCACTGATCAGATTGTTTTTTTTTCAGAACACATTTCTCAACAATCACTTGACAATGATTCTCAAATATCATACTTATGACAAGTAAGACTGTCTGTCACATTTTGTAGAGCTTAATTAATTGATTTTCTAAAAATCTAGTCACTTCCAAGTTGTAAAATTATTATTTCAATGAGAAAATACTAGACTTTTTCCTGCTTTAACTTGCTTCTGTTCCAGAAATGATTAGTTTCAATTCACCTGTCTTTTGTAACTAAATGTGTATGCAATTCTTTTTTCCATATAGTGTCACATTCCGTGTCGTTGGGTTTGAAGTCCAAACTAAGAGGTGAGAGTATGAGAGCATTGATTTCACCTCAAATAATTATAATATAATGAGTTAACATGTAAATGTGATTCCATCCAGAAAGCAAAGCAAATGGCCACTGACCAAATGCATGTTAATAAATAGCAGTTTCTGTGTTTTGTGTGCATATTGAGGTATGTCAGTGTTGTAGGATGTAGAAGCGATTGTTTGACTTGTGCATAAATCATTGTATACTTCTAGTGTTTCAAGAGATGCAGTGTCAGCGGAAATTGACGGCAATAAGTGCTCTTTCACCTCAGACAAACCTGGAGGCCAAACAATAATTGCTGACCGTGAGTATGATTTTTAATTTATTATAAGTTTTTTTTTTTTCAAAATTGGCACATGAGTAATCTAGTAATGTTTTAATAATTCTGTTGTTCAGTGCTTTGTTAAGGTGTAGAGGGCAAGGGTTAGGGGGTTCTGAACTTCCCACTTTCTACACTATCTCTATTTAATCGTCATTTTCATAGCTTTCTGTAGCTACTTCTGACAGTTTCTCCTTTGCTACTACACAATATTGATAATTCTTAAATTGTTTGATAACTACATGTACATGTACTTCTCCCATTTCTGCCATATGAAAAATACCTACTCTCTTTTTCTCTTTTTCTTCCCATCCTCTTATTTCTCTGGTATTTCCATCGTCCTGCCCCCCTCCATATTGGTCTTTTCCACTGTGTTAAAAATTATGTGTTCAATATGGGTAAGTATAGATAAGAGCAATGGTAAGGTTAACTGTTTTTTGGCCATCTCTCTAAAAACCCTTGTAGCACATCAAAATAATTTATATGTAAAAAACAATGTTAATGTGATAGGTGAAGTGTGTTTGTTTGATGGTGATTTCTGAGTACCTTATGGTATGTTTAAATGTGCTTTATTAACAGAGGAGAACACTGTGGCAATGACATATACAGTAAAGTGGGAGGTTAGTAAAATTATTTTCTTGAAAATCATACACTGCCTCCCAATTACATGTACATGTACAAAGCAAACTCAACTAGCAAACACAACTAGCAAACTCAACTAGCAAACACAACTAGCATGAAACAAAACCAGCAAACACAACTAAAAACACTAGCAAACACAACTAGCAAACACAACTAACAAACACAACTAGCAACTGTCAGGAACACAAAAGGGACTTCCATGTACAGTTAGCAGACAAATCTGGCAAATTCTTTAAATAATATCAACTAAGAAATGGTGTGGCAATCAAGTTTACATTGAGAACATTCATATAAGCATGGTGTACATGTATGATGTACACAGTATATTGCCCTCAGCTGATACATGTACATACATGACTGTTCTTGTTTCCTTGATCTGACAATATTTATCAGCTAGTGTCTTTCGACCTAAATCTCAGAACTTAGTCCTAAAGAATAGTAGAAAACAGTCAGTAGGAAGAATTTGAAGATGAATAAGCTTGTTACTGAATAGAGTATGTATCCCACAGGCCAGTAATGTTGTGTGGGCGTCAAGGTGGGACACCTATTTAGCCATGAGTGATGTTCAAATTCACTGGTTTGCTATCGTCAACTCTGTTGTGATTGTCCTGTTTCTGTCTGGTAAGTCATTTTCAATTGTCTTATAATTTTCATTGTTCACATTTTTGTAGTTAACACCATAAAGAGAAGTGTACACATGTATATATACAAGTTAAGATTATTGCAATATGTCTACCAAATGCAGTGTGAAGTTGGTGTATGTATGTCATTGACAGGTTGATGTCCAGAAAAACAGAGGTGAAGTCCAATACACGTTATCGATTCAGCTATTTCAAAACAGGTTTTACTGACTTGCTTAGTTACAGCAAATGAAAATGTCACATTACCTGATGTCCAATTTATGCTTAAGCCCAATCCATGGTCTAGTAATTGACCTTGCTGTGGTCAATTTGTACACTTTTAATGTTAAACCAAGTATTTTCTTATTTCTCCCTATAACTCAGTGGGATCTTCCCTTTTTGAGTACACAGTTATCTGCTTGTTTTGTTTTCATTTGTAATGATCAGCTCCTGACATGTTAACTACTACCTTTCAGCTATTGTGTCCATGATAATGATCAGGACTTTACGACGAGACATTGCACGTTATAACAAAGAGGATGAAATGGTAGGCATTGCTGTTGTTGTCTATTTGCAGTTAACTGTCAAAACCTGTATCAATCTTCCCCAGGCATATACTAGAGCAGAACGCTATAATAAGACAGAGACCTAGATGCTAAATACGATTTGCCCGATAGGGGCCTGGTATGAGTCATTCGTACCACGTTGTCCTTGTTATGTGTTCTCATCATTCTTAAGTGAGAATGCTTGTTTATATTGAATGTATATCTCTGTGAAATGGATAAATTCCTATCTATGACGAGAACACATTTAACCAAGCAGTGAAAAGGCGAAGAAAACACTGACTACAAGTGGATCCTTTTGTCATACGCCACACAGAATGCAACCATCGATCGCAACCGCCATCTTTGTTTTCAGACAGGAACGAAACTATCCCTCGCCGTAGCGAAAGACCATCGCAGTAAGACAGATCAAACTACAGTCGAATGGCAAAGAAATACAAGTGCCTGTTTCCTGAATCTACCTACGAAACAGAAGAAGTGACAGATGTGCTTGCGGCCGTTTTGCTATCGGTCTACTCGCAAGGCACACACACTGCTCCAGGAGTCACTGATACTGCACCAAGTGCCGCTTCAAACACTAAACTCGAAAGAGTATGGCACCCAACAATCTCAGCCGCAGGGTCAAGCAAGGATTGGTCATATTTCCTCACCAGTTGGGGCGACTATGTCGCGGCAACCAATGTCACAGGCAAAAACAAAGTAATTCAACTACTCGAATGCTGTGATGAACAGCTTTGCAAAGACCTCACATGAAATGCAGGCGGCTCCCTCCCCAACAAGACTGCCGATGAAGTTATGGAGGCCATTAAAAAACTTGCCGTGAGGGAGGAGAACACAATGGTTTTCCGGGTTCAATTGCACAACATGCACCAGGACCGGGATGAGATGATTCGTAGTTTTGGTGCCCGCCTTCGTGGCCAAGCTGGCGTCTGCAAGTTTCTAGTCACCTGCCCTGGTTGCCCTAATGAGGTTAATTACACGGAGAACGTTTTGCGTGATGTCTTAACACGTGGCCAGGCTGACAGTGAAATTCAACTAGATCTGCTAGGAGAAAGGAATCAAGACATAACCCTTGAAGAAGTCTTCCAATTTATTGAAGCAAAAGAGACTGGAAAATGATCCACTGTCTGCCTGTCACAAAGCCAAGGTGTAGATGCCGCAAGTAGCCAATACTGTCGTGCCAAACAGGATGACATCAAGCAACGCAAAGTTGGAGACAACAATGATTTGTGCTCCTACTGCAACAAGCGTGGCCATGGCAAGAGCGCCTCGACCAGGATATGAAGAAATGGCTGCCCCGCTTATGGCACAACCTGCGACCAGTGTGGGCGACCGAGCCATTTTGCTAGTATGTGTCGCGGCAAGAGCACAGTGGCAATACTACAGAAGGTGCCATCTTTGACTCACTCTGCACTGAAACAAGCCTTAGCCATTATCCTGGCAGAGATGTCATCAATCTTGACCACCACCTTTACTGCCACCTAACTGACTGTTGGGTCCGACAGCCACCAAACTCCCAACCATTCATCACACTAACAGCAACTGCCCACCCCGAAGGCTACACAGCACTGGGATACAACCCCCCCCCACATCGCGGCTGACACGGCCATGGCCGACACTGGCTGCCAGAGCTGCTTAGCTAGCATCAAAGTGGTCGGTCGCCTTGGCCTGAGTGAGAGAGATCTGATACCGGTCACCATGCAAATGCACGCCGTGAACAACAATGGTATCAAGATCCTGGGTGCTGTCATCCTCAGGTTCTCAGGCAGGTCTCCATCCGGTGCAACCCTTGAAAGTCAACAAATTGTGTATGTGACAAGCGACTCGGACAAACTCTTCCTGAGCTGGGAGGCCTGCACGGCACTGGGCATGATCACTCAGAACTTTCCTACTGTGGGCGAGACCATCCACACATGCAGCACAACTGAGCCAGACACAGCATGCGATGTGACATCCCCCCCGGACAGTGCAAAATACATGCCTGAGAGCACATCCAGCTCACTGTGCACCTGTCCATGTTGCGAAACACCACCACCTAAGCCCACTGAACTCCCATTCCCAGCGACTGAAGGCAACCGGATGAAACTGCAACAGTGGCTTCTCGACTATTACCGAGCCAGCAACTTCAACACATGTGAACACCAATCACTACCGCTGATGGAGAGTGTCCCCGTGAGGCTAATGGTCGACCCCAGTGCGGAACTGGTTGCGCATCACACTCCTATACCAGTACCACTCCACTGGCAAGAGGAAGTCAAGGCAGGACTTGACCAGGACGTATCACTCGGCGCACTTAAACCAGTCCCAGTAGGAGAGCCTGTCATGTGGTGCTACTGCATGGTCGTATGTGCAAAGAAGAATGGCAAGCCTCGACACACAGTTGACTTTCAGGCACTTAACCTTCACGCCACACATGAGACACACCACATGCAGCGCCCCCTCCATCAAGCACGCTCTATACCCAGTAGTACAAAAAGACCGTCTTCGACTGCTAGAATGGTTACCACAGTGTCCCCCTCCATGTGGATGATCGCCACCTCACCACATTCATAACTCCATGGGGTCGATACCGCTACAAAACAGCACCCCAGGGTTACATCGTCTCTGGTGATGGCTACTCGAGACGGTTCGATGAGATTGTCTCTCATGTCCATGACAACTAAATGCATCGATGACACCCTCCTTTGGGCAGATGACCTTCACAAGAGCTTTTTCCAGGCCGTTGATTGGCTCAACCTCTGCGGACACAACGGAATAATACTTAACCCAGACAAGTTCGTGTTCGGAGCCGACACTGTGGAGTTTGCAGGCTTTGAGATCACCCCAAGCATTGTGCGGCCATGCAAAAAGTACCTTGATGCCATCCGTGATTTCCCAACACCAGTCACCATAACCAATGTCTGCTCGTGGTTTGGACTCATCAACCAGGTCTCGTATGCCTTTGCCGCTACAGAACGCATGCTGCCGTTCCACCAGTTACTCCAGCCGGGAACCCCCACTCAAGTGGACTGATGAGCTCAACCAGCTTGAAGAATCTAAGTCGGTGATCATTAGTGAAATTGAGGAAGGCCTGTGCATCTTCGACAAATCAAAACTAACCTGCCCGGCAACTGACTGGTCTAAAAGCGGCATCGGATTCTGGCTATTCCAGAAACACTGCCAGTGTTCATCCACCACAGCCTTCTGCTGTCGCACAGGCTGGAAAATCACGCTAGTCGGCAGCTGCTTCACCCATGCTGCCGAATCTTGTTATGCCCCAGTAGAGGGAGAAGCTCTTGCCGTCACAGATGCCCTTGATAAAGCTCCCTTCTTCGTCCTGGGCTGCAGCAACCTTGTCATCGCTGTGGATCACAAACCCCTACTTAAGGTGTTTGGTGACCGATCCCTTGACGAGATCACTAATGTCAGGTTGCGCAACGACGTAGCAGCAGCCACGGCTGCTCTGACTATTCTACCCCAATTACACGCCTCTGGACACTCATTCTTGGCCGGCATCCGCCATAGTGAGCCACGAGTAGGAACATGCTCCATCACCATTGATGACCTGTTAGCATCATGAGCCTCCTCAGCACTGAGCACAATGGCAGTCACATGGGACAGGGTCAAACTAGCTACAACAAGCAGTGAGGATATGACTCAGCTACTCGACATCATAGAGAACAGATTTCCCGAATTCTGCCATGAGCTACCATGTGCCCTTTGGGAGTACTATCAGTTCCATGAACACTTACACACCGTCGATGGCGTAATCCTCTACAAGAATTGCACAGTCATACCACCCTCCCTCAGAGAGCATGTCTTGACAGTCTTACACTCAGCACACCAAGGCGTGACCTCCATGACCACACGCGCCGAAAACACCGTCTTCTGGCCAGGCATCACTCACGCCATCATTGCTCTACGGGAAACCTGCAACCATTGTAACCGCATGGCACCATCCCAACCAAGTGCACCGCCCTCACCAACTGTGCCCCCAGCATACCCCTTCCAATGCGTCTGTGCCGACTTCTTCCACCGCAAAGGGGTCAACTACCTTGTGGTAGATCGCTACTCCAACTGGCCCATTGTCGAACGAGCATGGGAGGGATCTAAAGGACTGATTGACTGCTTGCAATGCACATTTGCCACATTCGGCATCCCTGCCGAATGTGCGACAGATGGTGGGCCTGAATTTACCGCTGCTGCCACATGCCAATTCCTGAAGGAGTGGGGTGTACACCACCGTCTGTCATCCGTGGCGCTCCCACACTCGAACTGCAGAGCGGAGATCGGTGTAAAGACAGTCAAACGGATCATCACCGACAACACTGCACCAAATGGCAGCCTTGACACCGACTCCCTGCAGTGTGCCATCCTTCAATATCGAAACACACCAGATCCTAATATGCAGCTCTCCCCTGTACAGTGCGTATTTGGCAAGCCAATCAAGGATTTTATACCTATCCTGCCTGGCCGCTACCAACCACATCCTACGTGGAGTGACACGCTAGCCACGAGAGAGGAAGCCCTCAGAAACCGCCACATGAAAGCTGCCAAGAGATGGTCGAAACACACCAAGAGACTCCCACCCCTGGCAGTTGGCAACCATGTATGAATCCAGAACCAGACCGGACCATACCCCACTAAATGGGACAAGACAGGCATAGTGGTCGAGGTCCGCCTGTTCGACCAGTACGTCGTGCGTGTTGACGGCTCTGGCTCTGACTACCCGTAACCAGAAATTCCTCAAAAAATACATCCCAGTGCAGACCAAGCCCCCAAGACTTACTATCGATGATGACCTACGACACCTCAACCTGCTGCCCCCCAGACCAAACAAACAACTCAACACCAATCCACCACCAGCAGAGCTGCCACCTCAATGATGAGTTGTCCAGGCCTTACCAGCCAAACCCAGAGGGGTGTACACCTCAGCAACCACCTCCCAACACGCCACCGGCCAACCCTACTACGAATCCATCGGTAGCGGCGAGTCCAGGTCCACCACCCATCCACAAAACACTGTCCCCTTCCCCCGTGGATGCATTGGTGCCCACAAACTCGGGTAAACCCCCAGCACGGCCAAAGAAACCCCCACTAGCCTTGCGGCAGCAACAAGATTACAACGCAGAAGGACTTCTCGAACAATGAGACAGTCAAGTGACACATGAATGACATTGTTTGTCCATGAATGACATTCTTTTTCCTAGTTTTGTTTTGTTCTTTTAAATTAACAGTTTTAATTCTACAATTATCAGTCTTCACTGCCCCTCAAACACAAGCATGAGGACCACTTCAGACTTGGGGGGAGATAGAGCAGAACACTATAATAAGACAGAGACCTGGACGCTAAATATGATTTGGCCGATAGGGGCCTGGTACAAGTCATTTGTACCTTGTTGTCCTTGTTATGTGTGCTCGTCATTCTTAAGTGAGAATGCTTGTTTATATTGAATGTATATCTCTGTGAAATGGATAAATTCCTATCTATATACAACTGAAGTCCTAGTGAGGTTTAGTTAGGCTATGGCGCAGGCTATCAAGTATGAGGTGTGAGGTGGATTTGTAGGATAGCCAATCAAAAGTAATCTGTGGATCAAAAATATAATGTTGAAAGTCTTTTGGAACGAAACAATTTTATGTTGCATTTGTCAATCACACAGGAGGACACTATGGAGGAGACAGGCTGGAAGCTTGTCCATGGTGATGTATTCAGACCTCCCAAGAGGGCGTGGTTACTGACAGCATTTGTTGGATCAGGGGTGCAGATCTTTTTCATGGTCCTCATAACTTTAGGTAAGTACAACAGAGATCAGCCAAATGCTGGACATTTAAAATGCCTCTCAGAAACTTAATATTGTTAATGATTCAATGCAGTAAAATGTATTATTAAGCATTCAAGGAGTTTCATGTTAATGTCTTGTGAGTTGTTAAGAACACTTAAAAAGAGCAAGGGGCACTCAGCAACACCTTGTGTTTCTCTATGTACTTCTCTGTTGTTCTTAAAAATTCCTGCATGATTGTAATACTAAACAAATGCTTTTTAAGTCCAGTAACTTTTTCCTTAGTAGTGAGTAATTTCTTTTTAAGCTTAATATGACTCAGACGTTTAAATATATGCATGTTGTGTCATTAAACAGTGTTTGCCATGCTCGGGATGTTGTCACCTGCAAGCCGAGGAAGTTTGATGACTGCAATTATATTTCTTTATGTCTTTATGGGGTAAGCGTAATGGTTTGAAATTAATGCCTGATTATTTAGGGGGTTCCAGCATTCCCTACCATAGGTAGACCTTCCACTGATTGATTAGACTTTTGCAAATTATGTGTTTATGGAGAGGGAAAGTAGGGGAATTAAAAGGTTTTCAAGAAAGAGTGACTCAAACACCATGATTGATATACAGTGTACATCTATCTGACTCAAAACCTTCAAAACCTTTGAGTAATATTGCCAGGCTATCTTGATCATGACAGTTTCCCATAAATGTCTCCTTACTTGTTCCCTTTCTCTTTGAAGTGTTTTTGCTGGCTATTTTGCTGCTCGACTTTACAAGACATGCAAGGGCCAAAACTGGAAGAAATCTGCTTTACTGGTAATCTTCTGTTTCTGTAGCACTAGAAGTTGTAACAGTTATTTTATAGAATTTTAGTATTAACATTGCAAGTCAGCAAGGCTAAAGGTCTGGCAAAATAGAGGACTGTAGAAAAAATAGCAAGTTTTCAAATCTTTTGGCCAGCACTTGAGTGCACTTGAGTTAAATTGCAATGAATTGTGATAAATTCTTATGACTTGCTCTCAGTTGGATGCAAGTTTTTCTCTTTTGGTCACCCAGTACAAAAGAGCTCAAATCTCTTCATTTACTTTGAGTGTACTTCTTAATGTACTTACAAATTCTCATAATATATTACAGTTATTAAAATTTAATGCTTGGAAATCAATGAAATGTTACAGATAGTTATTATAATAACGTCAATGCTACTTTTTCAGACTGCAACATTGTATCCTGGAGTTGTTTCTGCAGTGTGCTTTGTCCTGAACTTTTTTATCTGGGGACAACACTCTTCTGGAGCGGTAATTAATCTGACTACCCTCATTAATTTCTACAAATTTGCTTACATGTAGCTGTTTTGATAGGTGAATCTCAATTTTGCATACAGAATGTTTGTCAAGTGCAGTCGATACAAAAACTCTTATTGATTTTTGTTATAATATTTTCTGTACTCCAGTTTATTGTAAGTTGTTAAATAGTTGCAGCTATTATTTTGTTATAATTGCTAATTATTACTCGTCTTTAACTTTGTTCAGGTTCCCTTTACCACCATGCTTGCTCTTCTTTGCATGTGGCTTCTTATTTCAGTCCCACTTGTTTTTGTTGGCTATTTCTTTGGATACCGGAAATATGTGAGTACCATTTGGTTGAATGTAATCTGGAATGTTCATTGGTGGAGAAAAAAATCTGTATTGTGGTGATTTAGGTCTCAACTGAAATCTGACTGATCAGCTTAGAAGAATTTTCAAATGATACAGACTTGTCTGATTTTACTTTGTATTTCCTTTTGCATTTGGCAACTTTTTTATGTGTATGGTTCAAACAACTGGCGCCTGTTTTATGAACTTCATATTATATGGACACACAAGAGAAGAGGTAGAAAATGATCGGTGATAAACCCATAGAGGTGTAGCACTCTACAAAAACTTCTATGGCTATTCGAGCTTCTTAAAACAGGCTGGGTATAGGTTCAAAAGGGTAACTAGGAAATACAGCCAACCAGACTTTTTTACAACTCCATCATGATAGTAGAATGAAGCAACATCTTTGTTTTGCTCCTGCCCAAACAGTTGGCTACTTTGTTCTCTTGAATTTATTCTGCAATCAAGGTAGTTAATGCAACATTATATTTGTTTTATACAGCCCTATGAACACCCTGTTAGGACCAATCAAATTCCTCGCCAAGTTCCTGACCAGGCCTGGTATATGAGTCCTTTGCCAAGGTAAGGATAGCAGGAATTTCTTCTTTGTAAGGCAGAGTTTTTGTAAGGGATTGGATTTCAGTTTAAAATGTCGGAATCTGTCTAAGTGGGGTTGCATATCTCTTGCATGGTTTATAGTGACTTGTAAACTACTTTTCAGTCTATATTGGAAAACAAAACTTACATTGTTCCTTGTGTACTTTTTGTTATGAAGTCTATTTACAAGTAAATAATAAATTGTGCAATACCATAACACTATTGTTTGCAAACTCTTCAGTAACCTGATGGCTGGCATCCTTCCATTTGGTGCAGTGTTTATCGAGCTCTTCTTTATTTTATCTGTAAGTAAACATGACTTTTTAATAAAGAAATACATATCATTTTGTAGGTCCAGAAAAAATTATTATATTATTATTTATTGAAAGTAAAGATATAGCCCAATGGGCTATATATCTACTTATTTATTTTCACATTTATAATGAATCCCTTTATGTTGTGTCCCCAATTAGCAGCAATGCTAAATACCCCCAGACACTTTTTATAATTCTGAATAAAGGTTTTGTTGTTGTTGTTTGTTGTTGAATGGATGTTTTTACGGGACATATTTGTCATCTTTTCAGTTTTTTCGCGAGTTTGCATAAACTGTCTTTGTGATCTGTTTTCAGGCCATCTGGGAGAACCAGTTCTACTACTTGTTTGGTTTCTTGTTCTTGGTATTTGTGATCCTTGCCAGCTGTGTCTCTCAGATTTCCATAGTGATGATTTACTTTCAGCTTTGTGCTGAGGTGTGTTTTGTTATTATGCTCAGGAATTTGCACTGAGTACAGTGTATTTTGTCAAATTTAAGTGTCCTATGTCTTTAATAACCATGCATGCTCACAGGCTGGCATGCAGGATAACAATTTTGTCAATTGATGAGAAGTCATCAAACCTCTTTGAGGTGGCTCTGTCAGATTTTTTAGTCCAAGTTCCTCTCAACTTTGATCAACTAGAGCATCACAAAAATCAGTCCAACAGAAAATCAATGAAATGTTATTGGTGTATTAGAGAAACCAGTTATCATAGCAACATGATGATGTTATACCCCATTTTACATGACACCAAAGTAATGACTTATTATTAAGGGATAATTTTGTAAATATGACATTTTTATCTGAAACTCTGAAGACCCATGCATTTGATATATGACCTGACTTAGGTGGCCTGTTAGTTTTGATATAGGCAGAATTCCATGGGAATGATAATAGAAGTTAAATAACAATCGCAAATAGACCCCTCCCTTCCCCCCTCCCAAAATAAAAGAAAGACAATTAATTTTAAGCTTATTTGAAATAAATAAATTTATTTTGTTTATTCTCGCTTTTGTTTCAGGATTATCATTGGTGGTGGAGATCATTCTTCATGTCTGGTTCCTGCTCCATTTATGTGTTTTTCTATGCTATATTCTACTTTGTTACAAAAGTGAGTTTCCTAGTATTTGCACCTAGCAGGTTCATTTGAAACCCAACAGTTTTGTTATGGGCTGTGGAAAATACCTGTAGACCCTGTAATTTATAAATTAAGTCCATCTTGTTAGCAGGGTTTTTACATGTACATGTAGATCTGAACATCTAGGCTGTAGTACATTCTTTGATCATGTTACCAAAAAGAGACCTGGATGATGGTTGGCTTTATAAGGCAACCTGTCAGTTGTGTAATTAAGCCTAATTGAAAGTCCTTGTAAAAGAAGTCATTCTCAAGACAGAATGGGCCTGTGGCTGCTTTTGTCTTGACAACTGTTTCAGGGTGCAAAGAAAACCAGTTCTTAAGCTTGCTAATTGGGCAAGTTGTAACTGTGATGTGCTAGCTCAACAGTCCTTTTATCTAGCCCTCCAATGATACTACAATAATTTCTCCTCTGACAGTATTTCCAAGGTTTGAATTCCTCATATCTTTCCCCAGAAAATTCACTTTCCCATCAAACAAGAAAAGGAAAAAATCCATTAGCCTGACTTCAAAATCTACTAGCTGTGGGCTATTGAACACAACTTTCTTTTCACACTGTGTTTAAGTTTCCGTCTCCATTAGTAAGAGCTGGATTTGTGTTCAGTGGTCACAGACTCCTCCATGCTTTACGTAATTTGCCAACTCTTCAGCCTCCATTTATTTTAAGTTTCCAAGATGTGTTTCAAGAGAAACATCTGTCATAGTTAAATTTTAATAACCCAAACCCTAACAGACTCAGTTGCGACAGCAGGTGTTACACATGAGCTCACGTAACTTAATTGACTGATGGAAAAACCATGTATAAATAAAGGTATCTTATCTTATCTTATCGTATCGTATCGTATCGTATCACATCGTACCGTATTGTACCGTATCATATCGTATTGTATCTTATCTTATTTTACATACTACTACATGTAGCATTAAATATAAACCATGCCTGAATTAAAAATTGTGTACACTCACCATGGAATTTTTTTTTCTTTTCAGCTTGAGATTGAGGACTTTGTTCCTGGTCTGTTGTACTTTGGCTACACATGTATCATGGTGTTATCCTTCTGGCTGCTAACTGGGACTGTTGGATTTTATGCCACGTACTTCTTCATCCGACACATCTATGCAGCTGTAAAAATTGATTAACAGCAAAAACTTATTGCAAGTTGTAAATGACAATTATTAGTGATATCATTGTGTAAACCATTGAGCCGGGGGAAGATAATTTTTTTAAAGTAAATGACAGTGTTTGTCTTTAATAATAAGTGACATTGTCTGTTCACTGCAGAGAGGTATACATGTATGCCTCATTTCATTCATGCTTGCTCATGGGACGACTGAGTTACAAGGCTTTTAATTATTGCAAATGTGATAGTTCATCATTCTAGAAGATTTGTAGCTCTTGGTAATTTTAGTGTTTCCAAATGATTGTACAGCCAACCAGAAACCATGATGGTTGTGCGACGCCTTATGGGTGTCTGATTCTACATACCTGTTTTGACAATACCTCAAGTGCTATAATTATGAAACTAAGTAGTCAGTTCCTAGCAAAATTAATTAACGGGAAATAACTTGGATACCAAACATTTTGGGTTCTTGCTATTGTTCTGTCAAGAGAGTCTGTTGGAACAGGACTGAGTTTGTGACTTGTGAATATTTAGGATTTAGCAGATTGGCTGCTCTTGCAAATAAATTAAAACTTATTTATTGCATGCATGTGGGTCACATGATTCGAAAAAGTTCCAATCATGGAGATAGAAGGAGAGACAAACTTCAGGGCCAGATGAAATGAAAATCTGCAAAATTATGTTTACAACTTGTTGCACTGATTTCACTTGTTTTTACTTCCTCTTAGCCTCATTAATTTTTATCGCTCAAGGGTTCTGCAAGGATGCACCTTTAGGCTAAGAGATGACTATTCCAGTTTATAAGTGGTTTTCACTGGTAAAGAAAAATGTTATTTAATAGTTGATTAGTTTTGATGTTTGATCTCATGGAATGGATCAAAGACATCAACCACAAAACAGGAACATGACAGTAGGGATTCTCCAGCATAATTTTATTTGATGTTTGGTTTTGAGGGATTATATCAAGAAAATGTTTTTAAATGGGAAACGAAAGACTGCTGTGTTTCTTTTTTGCCAAGACTAATGACTCAGTTTGTCTTTACAAGGTGTTTCCAATACTATTAACATAATTGTACCATTAGGCAAGTTTGTCCTTCTTACAATTTAGAGCTGTAAAGTGACTGATGTTTGTAGCAGCTGTTATATAAGCCTATTGTGTTGATTTGGATGGCTTGGTTTTTGGATGTTTGGTTTAGGATCAGAACCTAACTATCTTTTTCAAGCAAATGATTCCTGTCACATAGTTATACAATTTAGCTGCTGCCCACTTTATATTAACAGCATAAATAGTAGCAGACAGAACTAGCGAAGATGTTTATGTATTATTATGTAGCTATGAAGTAAGACTTGCTTTTGATATTTTAAAATTGTCTGACATTCAGTAGCTTCATAGATTAGTGTACACTTGTATCCATTTGGTAACAAAAGGTGGTGGTGTGTTAGAAACTCTCTGTCAACAAACTATTAGTATAATAAGCTTGTTAACCACTCCCTTTTAGACATCCCACCTGCACAAGTAAACAAGTTATAGAATTTGTGGTCAAACAAAATAAATTTAAGATCCTGATCATTTGGAGTTGTATGAATTTTGTTAATTGAAAATGTTATCCTTGCTCAAATTTTAAGAAATTGAATTATATCAACAGAATTTAATATTTATTTATCACACAACTAAGTTAGTTCAGAGGGCCAATAACTAAAATCAACCAACTAGATTGCTCCATTGCTGGTCAAATATTCTCTAAGTGTTGGACTGGGCACTGTCCCGAATGATCCTGCAAGATCACTCTTGGAGATTTTCTGGTAGTTTTAGTTGTGTAATAAATGTCTTATTAACCATATTTGCTCAGGACTGTGCTGGGAGAATATTGGCCTCTGTCTTTTTATGTATGGACCTCACCATGCGTGGTCTGTACTGTGAAGACCTCAGGCCGATATTTTTCAAGTACGGCCCATGCGCTTGGTTAATAAGATGTACTTTTTTGTTTTACGCATGAACCCTTGTCACAAGTCGCCATGTGCTAGTACACTTATTTGCGGCATGAATGTGCAACCTTGAGGAAATCTCTTAAATAAATGTAGTCAGTTGATAGATCAAGGTTGCTGTCTCTTGTTCTGAGATGTTCAGTAGGGGTGCAGAATGGTAAAATAAAAGATGCTGCAATTTTATTTGGGAAAACCTTTATCAATTATTATATAATAAAATTCCACTCTTAGTCATTCAAACTTTTATGAAAGACTTGACAATAACTTAATAACAAAACTGTACCCTCATTTTACAGTTAGAGACTGAGGGAGGATGTGAAAAAAGAAAAACCTTTTTACAGATGCTTCTTCTAAGGAGCAAATTTATGCAGTTATTAGCCACTGGTTACCTTTGTTGGTAAAAGGAAATAAATATGAGAAACCTAGAAAAAGTCATACTCTAAAGTAATAATATTTATAATATATTAGCACTCTTGAAAAAATCTATGATATTATTAGTCTAACTAATATTAGCCCATGTAGCTTAATAAGTTGTTCTGGTTCCCCTGTACAATGGACAACTGTTCATGACAATTGGAAAAATATCAATGGGCAACACTAGTGGTGAATGACATGGGAGAGAGAAAATGACAGTGATGCAGGCTATTTAACCAATGTTAACATAACACACGTATGAATGTTTGGTTATGAAATTTTGGTCAAAAGGTTAGAAGTTTTGTGTCATCTTTTTGTTAAGGTGATCGATCCCTCCAGTCTTCACTGAATACTGCAGGAAAAGAACCAAAGCCTACAAATTGAGTTTCAAAGTTTATGAAATCATACAAATGATTTGTTGTAATTTAAAAATTCTTTTAACTCCAGACAGAGGTTATATCGAGCACAAAACAAAGACTGGCTTTGATGTATGCTACATATAAATCACCATTCACTTTCTAAAAATAGCACATCAATTAATTTTTCCTCTGAAGGTAACAGAAGTCCTAACTGGAGACTGTTTGCTCAATGTTCGTTTGCCTTTGAGCAAAATCATCCAAAGCTTGTTTTACTCTTTCTCTTGTCATCATGGCTTGAGCTTTCTCTTTTGTAAGTTGTTCTTTTTCCTGAAAATTGAAAAAAAAAAAAAAAAAACCAATTAAAATAAACAGTTATATGGTTATAAATTCCTCATTTAGCGAAATAAGGAAGTAGATCATCCAGGGAGTGGGGGTGGGGGTCTTGTGTTGAATATGTCCAGGACTTTTTTTATTAACATTTATGCTTGCTTTTGAAATTGAAAGAAAAATGTTTTAATGAAATTATAATGTTTTTCAAGATTTCTTCTATTAATTTTGGGCATAATGCTAAATGCTGCTCAATTACCTTTCTTCTTTCATCTGCATTTTTTAGCTTTTCTTCTATTTCCTCCCTGGTCCGTCGTGAACTCTTCTTCTTCCTTCTTTCTAATTTCTTAAGATGCTGAGGTCTTCTTTTTACATTGCCAGTTTCAGGGCACAACATAACATCAAATGCCATTCCTCCTCTACTTTGCGGTCTTTCTGTAACTCCACCAACGGGCGCAAGAGAATTTATTCTATTTCTAACCTCCTCCTGTTTTTCTGAAAAGGAAACTCTCTTCTCTTTTAAGCTTTTTCTTCTTAGGACTTGGGAACCTTCGATGAACAGTTCTGTAGAAGAATGAATAAATGAATAAATAAACAAACAATACTTTAAAAATTAAGTGAATTCATAAGTAGATTTAAAAATTTGCTAATAAAATCTTCGATCTCTGAAGAGTCACACCTTGTTTACCGTACACAAATAAAGCTTGATTACTCTAATGTGTATAGCAAAATTACTAGAAACACCTGTGTGGTCAAAATTTACACAGTTTCCCTGATTATTATGTACGTGACACGACCATTCTTCGCTTGAGAGCTCGAAGACAAAGCCGGCAACCTTTCGCAATTTTTTCGTTTTGAATGCACACTATTTCTTGCACGTTTTCATCTTGGGGCGCAACGGGCTACTTTGCCAAACTGCTGTGAGCTGATTTTGAAAATAAAATGTGTTTATTTCATAACAACGAGTTGTGTAAACAAACCTGGTGTTGGAGGCCTCTGATCCAACAACGCAATTTTCTGTTTGTCTGGCGAAGACCTCTCTGACACAATATTTTCATCGTCCTCAAGTTCACCTAACCCGCTATCCATAGTTCTCGTGGATTTGGCCGAGCTTTCGCGATCAGATCTTGCAGAATCAGAGTTTGAAGTTAGACTGCTTTGACTTCCGTGCAAGCTGTCTCCTTGTGATTGCTTCACTTGAATCCTCTTCCCGTTCGTTGTCTCCTGTGCCGTAATTGTAAGTTCTTGTGTTTTATCCTCAGGAGATGATTTTAGATTCTCTTTCACGTCTGTTGGCATCGGCACAACAACCTTCGACGCTTTTGAAGCTGAACAGCCCATGTTTGAGAGAGAGCTACAATACAACAAGGCATATCATGTCAAAAATAAGCGTGCACTTGAAAAATTATTGATCGTGAATACCGTTGATACGCGTATACGGAAGAGCTTGAAGCGCAGCAAAATTTCGCCCCAGCTGAATTTGTTACCTGAATAAAGGGTAGAAGACAGTAAAATTGTTTAAGAAAAAGGGAGAAAGACCTGACAAGCTCAACCTTCCACGGCAAAGATGGTCCTATTATTTGATTTGGCGTTACAGTAACTCTCAAATTTATGCGCAAGCCTGTTGCTAGAACAAAATATACCATTGCCATGGAAACGTTTACAAATTTCCTGGTTGCTATGAAAAAATAACTGCTGTTTAGTTGATTGTGGGCTCAGTTTATACCCAATCTTACTCGTCTGCCGGAAGAATGACGTCATTGATCCCCTCAAAAACCGCTGACAATAATATCAGTGAGTCATTTCCAAAACGATAGATTTTGTCAGCGAAGTTCAACGCCAAAACTGAGTGATTTTGCCATTTGTAAGGTGAGAAATCGTTCAATTCATAAATGTACAATAGATCATGTTACTTTAGGTTTCTTTTTTTTAAGGCTTAGAGTTAGTTATAAACGCTAAATTTTACCTTTTTTATACCAAAGGTTGTCACGACAAAATACGTCGATACACTAAAAACGGAATTGATTTGAGCTTACTCTGCATCTGTTTATATTTGTTCTGACTTTTGATGTGAACATGTAAGACGCTAAACTTGTTGGAACTATCGTGAATGGATCAATCCTTGAGGTTTTCAAATCAAGGCCTACATGTCGATTGAGATACTTTCCGATTCTAATTTAAAGCTTCAATTGATCATGCAGTGTCACGTTTATTGATTTTCTGACATGTACAGTCGAGGCACAAAATCTGTCAAAGCTTGATTAAGCTTTACATGTAATATAAGCTTATAGTTGTCTATAAAATACCATTCATACTTATGTATAACTATAAAATGTTACATTTCTTCAATATAACTATAGAATGTTATTAAGGTGAACAGAAAGTATCATACAGATAGTATTAAAATTCATATTCATTACGGCACTATAGGGCAGTACATTTCCATGTGTCAGCTTTACACTAACAGGCTGCTGAGATCTTTTAACTAAGAGAGAATTGTGATTCACGAGCATATAAATTAATTTTCTATTGTTAATTAATAAGTGAGGTTTGCTAACCCTCTTGGTATTGTAATGTCTGATTTTCACATTAGGATAGACATCTGTTATTCTTCATTGATCACAACTGGACTAGCTGCACAGTACTTAATTTCGTTCATTTAATAGTCCTTGTTGACTAGATGCTCAAAGTGAGATAGTGATGCTCAAGTTTACTGCACGAACAGTCCTTAGTCCTTGATCCTGATTTCTATTTTATGGCACCATAGATAGTGCTAAATAGTTTTGTTTTGTACTATTGTTTTAGTCTTTGAAAGCAGAACAAGCGCCATGTCCTTTGGTGAATACTCTTCAAACTCCAGCACAGGTAATTAATGTCTTTGTAAATGTAAATCTCATGCACACTTGTTACTCATACCTGTTCAGACCTCACAAGGAGTTACTGTATTTATTTGATTAAGCACCCAACATCGAATAAGCGCCCACCTTTATAAGTGCCCACCCTGTAGGTAGGAAAAGTTAATAAATGCCCAGCGTTGAATCAATATGCACCCCCCACTACAGTACCACCCCACTCCAACACAAAAAAATGACGTGAACTAGAGGAGAATTGATTTATATTTCTTTTCTCTGGCTTACAATCTCTAAATTCATTGTCAGCAAGTGTCTTAGAATGCTGGAAGAAGACAGAGTTTTCTTAGTATTTTAAAGAAACCTTAAATTGAATAGTTTTATACTCTGCTTTGGTACATCTACACATTTTGTTATTATTTATTGTTTTATTGCAAAATAAACTTACTACTTGCTGAAAACGGTGAACGTTTAATAGCCGCCCAGCCTCAAATAAGGGTCTACCCTGGATAAGCACCCATTCTAGAGGTCCAAAACTTTATTAAGCACCCAGGGTGCTTAATCTAATAAATACAGTATTACATGGGATAAAGAAAACTAAATTTCTTGCCAACACATCTGGCAATCCCAAATGGACAAGATAGTTACATGCATCTTGTTCACTTGGGTAGCCAATCATAGTGTTATCTTGTGCGGTAACAGAGTTGCTCTGACATATTTGTTTTAGAATTTAGCTTAGTTAAATTTTATTTGGTTCATGGCATGTGAATGATTTTTTTCTAGTTTGTCATTTAAGAGTGCATTGTGTAACTGTTAGTTTATTTTGTTTTGTAGCATCAAAGGCTGGTACCTCAGAGTATAACAGACTTTGTGGTTGTGTTAGTAATAATATTCAAGCAATCAACAAAAATGGTATTTATTTATTTATTTTCATTAACTTTCCATCAAGAATGTTTTCTCAGTAATACAATAGTAAAATAAAAGTAGCCCAAGTGGATAAAAACGTTTGTGGAGAATTCACTGTCATAGTAAGATTGCCTAGTTGGTATTTAACTCAAGAATAACTTTTTCTATAAATTTGTGCTCTGAGATTTTAAAAAATGATTAGATAAGTCTTAGTTAAGATACATGTAGATGAAAACAAATTTACATCATGTAAGAAAAAAACGATGTTATGTTCAGTCTCCTAACTAAGAATGATGAGCTAAGAGAGCTATCTACTCAACGAAAACTCCATTTCAACTAAATTGGAAGCTACACAATATTTTAATGCCTTTACTCTGAGTTTTCTGGGTTTCCTCCCTCTGCAAAAAACAACATTTCCAAATGCCAATTCAATTAGGATACAGGACCTGCTTGAAAACTAGCTCGAGCTGATGTGGCTTCGTCTCGAAATATTATAATTTAATTTATTTAAATCAGCGGAACTGTATACATGTGGTTTAGCGTGGTCTGTACTCTTATCGACAACAATACACGTCATCACAGTGGTCAAAATGTTGTGGACTCACAAGGTGCAGCTGAGTGAGTTCACGACAAATTTTGGCCATTGTGATGACGCATATTGTTGTCGATAAGAGTACATGTAGAGACCACGCTAAACCACATTTTGATTTGTTTTTTACCACAATATCAATGTCAAAGAAAATGTTTTTTTCAGAGCGTGAGCTGAAAAAGGCATTGCGTGACACATTGACATGAGCAGTGTTGTCTGAACTCTTATCGACAACGGCAAATTAGCCAATCAGATTGCGAGATTAGTAGCAATTGTGGTAAAAAGAGTATTAGTCACGTCTGCTAAGAACTAAACATACATGTGCAGTTGTATGTAAAAATTTGAGACAACACTTTTGGCCATAAAATAAAGTCTTGCTGCCTCCTCTTATGAATTCAAAACTTGTTATGGATTAGTTGTTTGTTTTGATCAACAGTGGCCACAATTCAAAAGCTTGTGGACAAGCTTGGTACTTCAGAGGATAAGTCACAGCTGCAGAGCAGACTGTAAGTCAGCTTTAGAGTGCGAGCAGTCTCTCTTTTCCTTGAAAATCTGTGGAGAGGAACGCAAAACAAGTGAGCATGCAAGTGCGACTGTGAGCATGACTGTGAGTGTGGATGCTGCAAGCTGCGAGTTGCGCAGGCGTTGGAAGACTATTTGCAGTTTGCGGCTTCAATCATCGTGCTCGCACACCCACCACTGCTCACTTGTGTTGCATTCTCAGGGTCCGAAATTGCACTTTCCTGGTCGCCAATGCGACTAAAAATTTTGCGCTGGTGACCAGAATTTTCATAGCTGGTCGCCAGCGAGCGATTAACTATTTCAAGCCACGATAATTACACAAACTTAGATTTTCAGCCAAATCGATTAAAATAAAATTCAAAGCCGCCTGCCAATTGGTCACTTGCTTTTTACCTTTCTGCTGCTTTTGAAGTATAAAACCGATTTTCCTGTTATTATAACTCTACCACAAAGTTCCACAGCTACGATCAGGGCGAAGCTTTGCCACCATGTTTTTCCAGCGGTTTCCCATAACATACATATTGCGGGCGCAGAAGGCCACGTGCGTTCTTTCGCCATGAATATTTATTCAGGTGATGTGGTGTCCAAAGACTGATGTCCTGAACTCTTTCCGTAATTTATTACAAAGTGGAGACGGAACATCCGCGAAGAAATTAGTGGAAGATTTCAATATTCAACATGGCGATCCATCGATCATCTTGACAGAATGCAAAAGGAAAGATCATTTTGCACACAGAACAAAGAACCAAACGGCAGTTTTCAGTCAGGTACATTTCTTCTCCAAAAGGTAGAGACAAGAGAAGGTATAAAATTGACTTGAAACATTTGGCAGTCGCA